AAACTCTGGTCATTGTAGAATGGTCAGAGGTTTGCTGGCTTAATGAATGGGAGGAAGACAAGAAGGGTGAATGCTCTCCCTCGTTTCCGTTTGCCTCGCCGCAAAAGCCCCGCTGAAGAAGGCCTCCTCCATCCACTGCCGTCTCATCTCTTCTTAAAGGGGGCATAAAGCGAAGGCAGAGGGGAAAAGTAATTTTCTTCTCCTGTCCTGTCCATTCTTTTGGTGGTTTTCTTCCACTTTTTTTTGCTGTGTACTTTCATAAAGCTTATAATTATCTTGTCGAGAGCCCCTCAAGTGAGAACGAATGGGGTCTTTGTAGCCTTCTCTCTTCAGCTCTCTCCTGTTTCTGGGAAGAAGGAAGTCGTATTAACATTTGGTCTTCCACTTTTACAGATGCAGTGAGAAAGCCAGATGTGTCTTCTCTAAAAAAACAAAAAAAAAAACCTTTCAACAACTTAATTTTACAAAGATATTTTCTAAATCCCCACTGAGCATGGCAGAATAGAACGACAGCATAACGCAGTTACTGCAGGAAGTTATCAAACTTTAATCTCATAGTTACTGTTTAATCAATACTAATTAGCAAATTGTACAGTTGAATTGTTTAATTGTGTATTTGAGATGTACAGTGCTGTCGTGCGAAACTAAAGACTGAGAGAAATGTGCCATTTCTGTTTTCTTACTGTATTGTTACAGCTCCAGAAAAGTACTAAAACAACCACGAGCTAACCAGGCATGACAATAGCAACATCTCTTTGACCTGGCAGCAGATATCACTGGTTTAGGGTCGATCTCTCCCCCTCTATCATCTATGCAAAACGTACCTCCGCTCACCCAAGCCTCCCTCTATGCCTCTGACCTCCATCCCCAACTCTTCCGGCTGATTACTCCTAATGTAATTTTAATTAAAAACGGTGGTGTCAAAGGGTTTAGCCTGCCTGAGAAGCGGGTACAGATTGTGGCACAGTGGCAGACCCCTTCACTTGCTTGAGAGGAAATGCATCCTGACATTGCTCGGGTGTTGCCAACATGACCAAAAAAAGCAAAAGAGGCTTTCTGGCTCATTTGAATATCGAGGTATAACTTTATTCTGCCCGGAAAATATTTGTGTTATTTCTTATATTGCTGAATTTGGGTTGTACGCTTTTTACATATAGCTGTCTGGTGATTTCATTTGGCACTCACACCAGTGCAGTTAATGCTTCAAACTTGTATCAGTTGAGCTGGAGTCAATTGTTGCCGTCAAAATTTAGAAAAGAAAAATCGCAAAATCGTTCTTCTGTGACACATAATAAGTCTGGTTAAAGAGCTGAGCTTTATTTTAAAAAAAGGAAGGCAACGGGATTGATTATTGGAAGACTTGCCTTTACCATCATTCAACGAACTCCATCACAGATCACCATGGCTATTTCATCAGAATACTTACTACCTTGTGTCAAATAAATCAGTACCAAAAGCCATGCAAGAGGGCAAGGTGAAGCCACCAAGCTGTGACTCATTCTAACATCAAGTTGCACTTAGTTGACATTGGCAATAATTACCATTGCCAAATTTCACAGGGGTAACCTGCGGAAGGTGCCCCACAGCAGGACTCAACAGCAGAGGTCTGCCTGTAGGTTTGTAATCCCCTCACCCGAGTTGTTGGATTATCTGCTCTCCATCGACCCTGAAGAGGCTCCCCCGTTGCTCGGGCTTAAACACTCTCTAAAATCTCATCTCTACACCCCATCTGCCGGCCGCACGACGTCTTGGAAGTCACAGATACGGAGGAGTGGGGTCTGAGGCAGCACAGCAGAGGAATACATCCAAACACACCTCCTCCTTCACGCTGTGGCTGTGTGGAGCGGAGAGGAGCCTATAGTAAAACAGTCAGTTGTAGGTATTATGCTACTCAAAATTACTTTTTAAGTTTTAGGTATTAAATGTTTCAATGCGAGGTAAAAGTAGTGTCCTTGTTGCAACAGAGGCTTTATCATCCCTTCTGCAACACAGTTTCCTCCACTTTTAACAGTGCTTTTAGTGGATTCTACATTTAGATAAAGAATATATATAAATCTTTTAACAATAACTGTTGTTCTGGAGACTCACTAGTGCAAGAGGTGTCAGTGTCAATGATCCTTCAACTTTCTCTGATAGGGGCCTTGTTTTGTTGCTGTCAGTGGACAGTTGGAGGAGCTGGTTGTTGGCCCTGAGCAGTGAGGCATGTAGTAAGAGGGTTTAACTTTGCTAACCTCCTTCTGCCAGGTTCATGGGGGCCCTGCTGCTTGGGTAATATTGGATCAGTGTTGGGAGCCCACGCCCCTGCCATATAAGCCAGCATGCTACCTGGGGTAGTGAGCAATTTCACCCATGGAGCCAACTGGGCTTGATACTTGCTCTCTTCCTAAGACACAGAATTGATTCCTTTCCCTTCTTGTTCAATATTATACAGACTTGGATATTGTTTTAAAGGCACATTATGCTCGATGTTTACTCTCCTATGACAAAAAAAAAAAATTAACATAACGTGTGGGAGTCTAATAGGTTTGCTGAGCTGGAAATCAACAAATACTGTTAAGATTTCTGTCCTTAAAGGTGGAACTTCCGGTTTGTACTGTTGTACAAAACAACAATATGCAATTGCTCCACTAGTTGCTTGTCTTGCATAGTAAGTCAGAAAGGGAATTAGTAAAACCATCCGATAGCTGTTTGACTATTGCATTTTGGCTGTCTTATTCTTTATCTTTTGTTTGATAACCTCATTATAAAACCCAAAAGAGGGTTCACACTTACACTGAATAAGCATCTGGTGTTTCTGTATATTTATACTGTGGCCAAACAAGAATATAAGGAAGGAGAAAAGTGTGTTTTCTTTGAGTAACGGGTGAGCATTATAGCATTTCAGTAGGCAGGCAACACTGTCAGAGAAAAAGACTCAGTTAGACTGCATTGTATTGTGTTCCCAATACAGAAAACCTGCAATGATTCAGTTATTTTCTCTTATGAAGAATATGAATGGTTTGAACTTGGTTAAACACACACTCTGCGTGAAAGGTGGTGAATCATAACCCTTTAGGTAATTGCTTGGTTTTCCGCTTTTATAATTATGAATTTGCATTTTCCACATTCATTTGCATTTATGATGAATTGGGGAAAAATACTTAATATTTCTCATCATCAAAGAATCTGATTTTCTTTGTAAACCAAAAAAGGAGATGATGTGCTATTTTTTTCCATTGTAACATATTTCCTCCTCATTATTTGACATTAATGTTAGGCTTCTGCTTTTAATTTGTTAATATACTAATTTGATCAACAAAACATTACTTGTATACAGTACATGTATATGTATGGATATACATAGTTACCATACATTGTGTCTGAGAGATTTGTCGATATTGTGGATAGAGCAAATTTTGTCTTCAGCTGAGTGGATTCTTTTTTTTTTGGAAGGGACATAATACTTGCAGCATGAAACATAAAATAATACTCATGTTTTGTCAAGTATTCAAGAGATAAAATATAGTTTTTTTCTCAGATTTGGTTCAGTGTGTGCAATCATTCACATGTGCTCCACTTGGCCCTGTTGAGGAAACTTGGCTAGTGCTACACTTTGGAAAGATCTGCTGATATTAAAATCTGCAGATGCCCACCTGGTGTCAGGAGGGATGGAAACAGAAGAGTGTGCAGTCTGGGAGGTGTTTGATAGGGCTTGGAGATGTTTGTGTCCATCTGCTGTAACTGTCTATGTCTGGGGTAGAAAAGAAACATGCAGTTCATACAGGTGATGGCTTGTGGTCTCTGTCTCTTTTTTGCTTTTGGAAATCATTGTTTTTTTTTCTCTTTCTTTCTGGCTTTTGATTTGTAGATGAAAAGAATGTGCTCCTCCACAGAGGTAAAGTGGCAGCTTTAGCTTTGTAAGGTCAGAGAGCCGTTAGAACTTCAAGTCGACAGGCAAGACATTCACACTATTCCCTCTGCTGGTGGTGTGTGTGTGGGTGAGTGTAAGTGCTGAAGGCGCACTGGGTGTATATGTGGTTTGGATGTGGAGGTGGGTAGTTTTCGCGTATTTCTTAGTGCAGTCAAACGTGTGAATCTTGTCTTTTGCTTCAAGGTGTGTGTGTGAATGTCTGAGTGTGTACCTGTCGCTTTGACTGAACAGGTGGGGCCTCCTTGCATGGGATCTAGACAGTCAGTTTCCCCCCACAACTGACTGTGGTCAGGCTTACTGCTCAACATGCAGTCCGTGGTGCAGGCTCAGAAACATTGTGGTTGGATGTCGATATACTTTCAGCGGAGTACTCGTTCACCATTCTTATGGCTTCGTTCCCCTCAAGCCAGTTAGTTCAATTACCAGATGTGAAAGAACAAATAAAGAAGAGTTATTCATTATTGCATTCAGTCATTAAATACTGCAAAACTAAAGGTATAATAATTCAGTCATAATTTGAAATTGTTTAATTTGTCAGTGCTAATACATATCATAACTGACAGTCTATTCTGCTGTAAAAATAAATGTGACTTTGGCAAGGGGATTTGTACAATTATTTCATATTAATGAATTCAAATGTAAGTAAAAGTCATGTAATAATGGTTATGTGAGGAAGCACTGGTCTTCACTAAATTCACATTGGCTCTGACAACATTGCACCGTTACACTATTTTACATTATTCTAAAAAAAAAGACCTTAATACTTATGATGCTTAGCAACAACATCTCTCACAAAATAAAACACCTAATGGGATGGCATTTCTACAATTATGTCTACCCTCTGTACTGTAAATGTGTCCAACTAGGAGAGTATGGGTTGTGCTTTTCTGGAGCACATTTTTTGGGCAATTACAATAAAAAACATTTTATTATTATTATATGTTTAACCACATAGTGCGTGGAAAGTGTTTCTAATATTATAGGTCTCTTATTAATGTAAATGGAAAGGGCAAAAGCATCAGAAACTCCTTTCCACAAAATTGACTCCGTGAGTAACACTGGGATTTGTAGTTTCCTGCGCAGCCTAACTACGTCAGCGGAAGTATTTTGAGCGGACGCGAGGTCACATTGGTCCAGTTTTGTAATGTTTTGAGAAACACAATGGAGGCAGCCAACACAGGTATTAAACATTTCTGTTCTATTAAGTGTATGACGTTTTTTTTAATGGCATAACGTTTGATAGCGTTAAGTATCCAAGTCACGTAACTCTTTATTCAGCTTTAACGTTATCCAATGTTATGTGGACTCGTGTTTAGCTGACGTAAGCTAGCATACATACACTGAAGTGGCTATCTCTACGTAGTGGGAGATGATTGTTCGTGTTTCCATGAACTTAACGTTTAATGTTCACAGCCTTCCTTAATGGTGTAAACGTAGCTTTGCACGCTGTTCGGTTGCCTGTATTGTGTCTATGGGGGCAAACGTCACCCATAACGAGCATATAAGAGGCAGGCAGGCACGAGGACTAACGCTGGTGCTAACCATGGTCCTGATCGTTTACCTGTGTATCTGTCTTTATGTGTGCCCTGCTTTTTCAGACGAGATCCAACTGAGGCACGTGGAGAAAGATGTCCTTATCCCCAAAATGATGAGGGAGAAAGCCAAGGAGCGCTGCGTTGAGAAAGTTGAAGGTGTGTGTGTGTGTGTGTGTGTGTGCGCGCGCGCGCGCGCGCGCGCGACAGATAGAGCACAATCTTCCTTCCCAACTTCACAGTCACATAAAAACAATGCGTTTAGGTAAGCAGGACCACAGCCATACTTATATTGTCAATAAGTATGAGGTTTTATGCAGAAAGAGGCGACTGCTTCAATTTAGGTGATAATAATGAATTAATATCAAGATATGGAGCGATTATTAGTAATTTAATTATGAATCATAAACTCATAAATTAGTATGAAAAAATGATGTTACTCATAAACCACCATTAGTTAAACTAATAGAATTTAACATAAAATTCCATTTTTGATGTCACCCAAATTTGGAAAAATAGGGAAAACTTAAATTATTTAATTTTATCAACTAAACCCTAATCTCAGGGTTGCTACGGATTTCTTCTCAAGGTGCACAGGGAGCGATTATTTCATATACACATGAATCAAATGATCAAGTTCTTTATAAATGGAATATTTATTAGACTAACCACATAACTAAACATAAAATGAATGAATAAACAAAACGAATAGAATGAATATAATATGATGAAGAGCACAATGAATACAGATGAACCACAACTAAATGAAAAGGATTGCATGTGACCAGGTAGAATCAATGACTCCTATCATTGAGTGATTAATTAAATCCGTCTTTTCACGTTTATACCTTAAATTTGGCGCTAAACTTTTATGCACCGTTCCAGCAGTTGAGTTTGTGAAGCACCTTTTATATTAGTTCTAATTTCTTTGGCCGAAGAACATCAAACTCGTTTACATTTGGAAATGGTATTGTTTCACCTGATGGCTCTGATGGGAGGTAAAGCTGCATGCTGTTCCTCTGAGGGCCTCCGCATCATGTTGGATGATCGTAGTCGGTTGAATCGCATAGTTCCGTCTCTCGCTCGGTGGCATTTGGTTCGGCTTCCTCTGAGACCTTCGGAATGTGGTCGTCTTCTTCTTTGAGGTTCGGCTTGAACTGTTCTTCCTCATCTCCATCTCTCGCAGCAGGATGCTGAGTCATCTTATCACCTTTGTAGCTGCGGAGGGTCATTACGGCATCTTTGCCAGTTTCAAATTGTCTTTCATTTTATGGCGTGAAAGGTAAACCACTCCCACCCTATCAACTGTCTTGATTAATTAAACTAACCTTATTTTACCAAATGAATACCAGTTACTTACAGACTATTTAATTCTTCCATATTTGAAATGTGAGCTATCTCCACTGCAGAACGGTATCGAATATAAATCACTGAATAAAACCTGATCACTTAAAGACTGAATTAAACAGTTACACAACCATGTCGTGTCAGCCTTAACTGAGGTCTTATAATTCCTAAATTGGTTTGAGTGTCAAGATTGAGTTTGTCCAGGCACACGGTAAGTTGAGAGTCTAACCACGTGGTGCCCTGTGGGTCGGCAGAGCAGTTTCTCATAGAACTTTATTAGTTGAGATTTTGTCATTGTTTCGTTATCTTTCCATTGGATGTCCGCTCCATTGGTGTTGTGTGCAGACTGGCTCGCTAGAACGGCTTACTGGAGCACTGTATGGACCTGAGGCCATTGAAGTGAGCCGTCGTTATCAAAATCCATCAATCTGTACCGAACAATGATGGTCTCGGTCACACCAGTGACATCACAGTTGTGTTCACAAATATATTTGATTTTCAATAAGGGCGATTCTTTTGTCATGTCTGCATTCATTTGTGGATCTGTAATAAAAATAGAGAAAACTAAATGTTCTTTCAACTACATCAGTAAAAATCAAGTAATCCATTTTATTATGTGGTCATAATGAAGTCGTATTGAGTAATGTCTTCATAAAAACTCACCAGTATAAGCTTCCTGAAGGTAGGATGTATAGTCGAGCTGTTCTATTGCACTGCATGAGGTGTTTAATAGACCGTCAGCTGAGTGTATCTGTTATTACAAATGCAATAGAAAAGCCCTGCAAACTGAGAGTCCTGATGCTAATCAAGACTACAAAAATGGGTCAAAAATACACTTCCATCGCTACTGGTTAATGTAAGGTTATGAATTTGTACAGCCAAAGCTTTAATATACTCGGTATGAGAGTGGGTTTAGTATGCAGTCACTGAAGTATGAAAAGATAACTCATTTAGTCCCCCATTGTGATCATTTTAGGTTATTGTTTCAACTAATAATATTCAGCTCTCATTACGCTTAAGTGTCACAATAGGATACTGCCACCCTCCAGTTTTTGTTTTGTATCAAAGTCTGCATTTTACCTCCAGAGGAATGAAAAGCTTTCGGAAAGCTGTAAAACAAAGAAACGCCTAGACATCCAAACCGTGTGTTTAGAAAACCCCAAAGTATTAGATAATATGAACAAACGCTTCATTAATGCTTCGTTATATTTGTGGTTTAACTTCTCCCTGAGGCCGGAGTCCACAATATTTGTTACTTATAATATATTCTGTTCACCACACGTACCATCTGAGTATGTGTGACTCCTCAACCATATTTAATACATAGGAAATGTATTACAGAAAATGTTACTCCAGGATGTATGTCGTGTTATTTTCAATCGCAACCATAAAAACCCCATTCTCACAATTTACTCTTTTATAAAATGTCTCTGAATTGACAAACAGGCCGATTGGCACCAGCCGCCCCTTAACCTGCAGCTTTGCTCCCATCTGCCCCGTCTGCTGCAGCAGCAACACATCAGCCAGATGATGACTCGGTTATGTGGTTTTGTCATATCTGACGGGCTTGCATGAGCCAGTGTTTAATGCTCACGCGGGCAGACACGGTGCACATGCAGCCGAAGGTGACGAGACGTACAGTGGCCGTGTGGGTAGTGGAAACCCCCCCCCCCCCCCCACATCACATTTCTAGCTTCTCGTCCCACTCATTTTCACACCTCCGTGTCCGCCCTCCACCATTTCATTCGGTATGTTTGTGTCTGCACTGGGCTCCCACATGTGTTGCTGATTGAGGTTTTTACAAAAAAACAAACATTACTGAATCCAGTAGTATGTTTTCCTGTATGATATCTGTCTCTGCACACGGGCCTCTAAACGTCCCACAGTTGTGTGTCGTCGGCTTTGTTGTTGAACACAAGTACTACTGACTGTTTTCTGTAGTTTTAATTTAGCTGGCGTTTTTTTCCGTTTGCTTTGCTTTTTCGTTTCAATGCTCTCACTTGTCTTTCAGAATTAACCATTTAAAGTAAACAACCCAAATATTCAATGAGCAACCTCCTGCCTACTGGTATGTTTTTGCTTCCATTTGCAGAAAGCTACTTGGTTGTCAATTTCATCCAAAATACAGAAGAAGAAAAAAGTCTGTTGAAATAGTCATTTTCCCAATTACATACTTAATGTGCTGATCTGACTGTTTCCGTTCTGTTACTGATATCCAATACCAGTGTTTAATTAACACGCTGTGTGCCTCACTGAGTGGAAGTGACTGGGTTCATCCTTTAATGTGTAAGGCAACATCAGCCTTGACTTAAATGTTGCTTTGCTAACTTTGTACAACTAAATGTAACAAATGAATACATTATTATCAAAGTAATACATTGTGCAGCAACTTCGGCTTGAGATATGTAGATAGTAGTAGTAGATATGTGACCATTATAATGTGTAATCAGAAGTAAACATAGAATACAACTGAATAGATCGGCACAGATCAGATATCCCATATTAGGTAGGGATGCACAATCTTTATTTTTTTTTTAAATATATATTTTTTAATCTTTATTTTTTCGCCAATATGTAACTCATTAAATACCTGCCTCTCATAGCCAATACCAATTATTTCACAATTTTGTAATTTTGAAAAACAGTTCATACCTGTTTATTATGCACACCTGAGGTGGATGATTTAATATTCCATAGCTCAGAAAACATTTACGGCTGCTTAGTCTGCAGATAAAATACAATGACGAGGCGTATTATCACTGTCGATACTGTTGGCAGACGACTATGCAACTTTAATGCATGAGTGTGAGGTAGGTAACCCTCATCGAAATACATTAAATTAACTTAATCAACAGACGAAATAACAGGAACGGCGCCACTCTGCGAAATTGTGAGCCTGGCAAAGTTCTTGCCAGGCATATTTAAAATGTCACAGATCGCAAAATACCTCCACTTATTAGATGCTCTACTTTCTAACCGCTGTGGTCCTGTCAGAGGTAGCGACTAATGTGCCTGTTTGGAGATTGATGCATCCTGTGAGTGTCTGAACTGTGTGTGAATCAGAGGGTATTTCACTGTTTCTGACCGCGAGCCCGCAATCAATTTGGCTTTGATTTATCAGCTATAATTTCATTATCAGAGTAATAAATTATTATATCAATCTCTCTTTCTCGGACGGTATTTTATCAGGTTGGTATTTATCGTGCATCACTATCTGATATCCGTATCAAATCGGTGCATCCCTCACTTTCAGTTACGACACATTATAATAATAAAAAAATAAAAATCTTCCTCTCCTTTAATGCATATCTTGAAAATCAATACAAATTTCATCACAAAAAAAAGTTACGACACATTATCAATTCATTCTTCAGGAATGCACAAATCTTGCTACAAACCTGACATTTTTTTTCCGTTTTAACTAATTATGTGTTCGAGGTTCACACCTTTTTTCTCTTCCTCTAAAGGTCCACGTCTAAACGCTACAGCCCCGAGCTTCTGCTTTCTACTAACTGCCAAACTACACTTCTGTATCTTTAAAAATGGCAAACAAAACAGCCCAAATTGAAGGTGCCATCACACCTTCCTTTAGAAGGGCCTTTTCTGACTCGTCTCATAGATTCTTCTTTGGTGTAGCTGCGATCCGAAAGGCAACCCTCCGCAGCCTCTATTAGTGCCATGGGACGGGGACGAGGCGTCTGCTGATTAGATTAGTCGCACTGTTCTGCTTCTCTAAATTGGTTTTGCTGTTGCTTTTTTAAAAAAAAAAATTTTCACATCTGCATCCTGATGAAAGTGACTGTGTGATAACCATACTGATGCCACATGAAGGTATTTATGATGTCAGATGTTTGAAAAAGGGGGACATGGCAGGCCAGTGTTTTTAATTAAATCCCTGAGAAATAGCTCGTTAACAAGGTGAAGAGTCTTCAACGCCATTAGCCAGGGCACAGTGTCACTGATGCTGCCTCCTGGAAGGGCTTTTTCATTTATGTTCCAGATGTGTAGCGTTTTTTGCATTACATGGCAGCCTGTAAAGGGGGACAGTGACACCCCCTCATTGCCGACCAGGATCTGGCCGCTCCTCTGGCCGAATGACAGATGACACCTGAGGGGGCATGAACCTGTTATGAAGTGTCGCAACAGCACAACAGTGGGAGAGCTGCGGTTTAGAGCGTGCTCGTCCCTTTGTCCTCATCTGGTGAGATAATCAGTGAGGCAGTAACTGGTCCACAGGAGGCATGTGTTCCTGTGGCCTCCATTTTCCCCCTGCATTGCACATGGAGGCCAGAGTCCTAGAACATCTGCCACAGGTGAGTTTATGCCTGTGGATCTGTCCAGCAGCAGGTGAGGGTGGAACAGCCCATCGAGAATAAAGACCATAAAGTCACAGGCAGGATGGCCAACACCAACAGCACAGATGTGCTTACCTCCCTTGGACCTGCATGCAAAATACAGAACTGAAGGGCCAAGAAGCTGAATGTAGGATATATATCTCTATATATCTATATATATATCTATATCTCTATATCTATATATCTATATCTCTATATATATCTATCTATATATATATCTCTATATATATCTATTATATATCTCCGATGCAACCACTCTGTGGCCTGTACAGCTAAGTTCAGCCTTTGTGTGAACAAGGAAACACGGGTTTCAGTTTGATAAGAGGGTTTGAACATGGCCTCAGACCAGGTTCCTCCTTTTGGTGGAGTGCTAAGATGAGGCCCATCTTTGGTTTTGCTTGTGGCTACTTATTTTCTGTTCTGCACTTGCACTCGAGGATGTAATAGTGTAAGGTGAAAGGTATGATGTCAAAATAGTAATACTTTTATGTTTGAGGCTGTTGTACGCGCTGAACCTGTTCCTTTTTTCTGCTAATTTCACCCTTCTCCAACACCTTCGTTCGCCACCTCCCTCCAGCCTTCAACCACTGCTGTAAGGACAGTGGTTTCCTCATGGTGTTCAAGTGCCGAGAGCAGAATTCAGCGCTGAAGGAATGCCTGACGATACAGTGAGTATTTTTGCAATTTTCTCTGCAACACGCAGCGCTCGCACAGTAAAGTGTTATCGCACCACGTGTTATCCGACCAACATCTTTTACACGGGCTTACCCACCGCCACTGACGGTCTCGACCCTCTCAAACCATATTATCACCATCAAAGTGGGTGACATAAGGCTACATTTATTTCTGTACAATAAACACCGTACCCTCCTTTTTCTACCAGCTACAGGGACCCTGTGTTCTTCGAGCAGTGTAAGCAGGAGTACATCCAAGAGAAATTGGAGTTTTTGAGGACGGGGGTCGCACCAAAGAACAGGAAACAGAAACTACCAACCAGCATGTGATGTAACAACCCACATTCCCTCCTTTTGAAGATGCGGAGTGAGGTGCTCTGGTCGGAACCAGCACCAAGTCCTTCACACCCAGGATACATGGTCCTCTGGCAGGGTTCATTACTCTTAAAGGCACACGCCTGTGCATTTTATTTAAATCTGTGGAGTGAAACTAGTTTGCTGTGCATGAGTGGTATAATATCAAAATAAGCAGTTTTTTTTTGGTTCTGTATATTTGTTGTTCTCCATCACATGGCCAGAATAATCTTCCTCACTTTATTGAATCAGCAACATTTCTATCATATTTGCCACTGTGCTTATAGACCGATAGATTATACAGAAAGATCTGATCATAGTCACTTCCTGTACCTAAACCTGGTAGATTTCATTAGAGTGCACAGCTTTCGCTTTAGAGGTGTACAGTCATAAATGATATCTTAATATCTGCTGAACACTTTAATATCTTAGGTGCTATGCCGGCACACGTAATGAAGAGTCTGGGTTGTTGCCCGATAGTTTGGTAAATCATCTGCAGGAAAAAGTGCAAGGACTAATTTCACAAAGACGCTTGTACAGTGTATGTAAGAGACCTCTGACATCTCAGTGACCCATGTGTGCTCATGTGACATATGCCATGAAATGTGACAGTTAATAAAAATATTCACTGGTAGTAATGTGTATATCAGTGTGGTAATTAAGACAAAACATGAAATGTTAATGAACGCAATTAGTTGGAGATAAAACCTTAAACGTCCCATCGTTTTACTCGAGTACATGTCGAACATGGTTGCCGAGTATTTCATAGAAGTTCGGCCATCGAGTAAAAAGTATGATCGTGAGAGACTAATGGCGAATACTTGTCGTACATAATATAAAGTGTAATTGTCTCCTTGTACGTTGAGTATTTTTCTCTTCTTGGTGACAGCTGAAGAGGCTCCACAACTGTTGGTTGGCCTTCCATTTTTAGATTATTAAAAACATATCGCTGTGCAGCACTTAGTCTTAGGTCGTAAACAAGGCATTGAGGCAGTCGGTATTGCGACTCTTCTTAAATGTTAAAACCAGCTAGTTGATAAAGTGCTGTTCAGCAGTAGGACGGATGCCTTGTGATGGACAGTAGGAATCGTTCTGTTGCAACTGTAACCTAGTTTTGTTAAAATGAACGGACAAAGCAAACTCACGCCGTCATTTCCTTTCATTTGTTTAATTGATCATATTTACAAACAGTCTGAAGTGCAGTAAATCTAAAATATAATCCATATCTACTGTACATTGCATTTTGGTTTGCAAATCGTTTACAGAAGTATGAAACTACTGCTGTAAAATAACATTTCTTAAAAATCAACAAAAAGACCACAGTTATGAAACATACTGAAGAAAATGGAAAGAAACAACAACCATGGGCCTTTGTGCTTTGTGCACGTTGTGGTATTTGATCAAGTCACAATTCTTCAAGTTTTTAGACTTCTTGTCCAGCCACCATCCAGGTCATACATATCAGAAGCCGGGGGGGGGGTAAAAAACAAACAAACTAAACCTATGCTTTGGAGTGCAAAACTGCGTTTGGCGGAGTACTGACGCCCACCATATACATTTATACAGATATGCACACTCCCTCTGTGCATCTCTGCATTCTCCTCGTGCGTTTTCTTTTGTACATCGTCAGTTGTTTGTACTCCTCTGACTTAAAAAGAGAAATCAAAGAGAAACTTCTCTCCTCACAACAACTCTGCTCATACTGAAAAACAAATGCCTCGTAGGTTAACATCAGCACACTACAGAGTTTAGATACATTTTCTATAATTCAAAATCTCCACAAACCTAATTGGGGTTTCCAACTTACTCAGGGTTTCAAATACAGGGGACTGTGTGTGAAGCCTTTTCCACGAGTCCTTCCAATGTAAAAACACAGCCTTACACCCAACATGTCCCCTTACAAGGAGGCGTGCTCGCTGTGAAACGTCGTAAACAGTTCAATCTGTTCTGGTGCCAGTGAGAGGGCAGTGTTTCATTTCAGTGATCAAGACATTTTTAAATGAAAATGATTGTTTACTACTCAAACTATCAGTGCATTCTCAAAAATGATTTGGCAAGCGTATGTAGATCGACAGCCAACTTTGATTATTGATCCGTAAGGACTTTCAGGAAAATAACAATTTAGATGGGAAAAAAAGAAGATGATAGCTGTTAAAACATTAAACAAAACTTTGATTATCCCAGTTACTGCATGTCTGTCACCATCACAGTACTAAAACAATCCCATCGAGTCCCCGCACCGACAAATCTCCTTCACACAATCGCGAGACGCACGTGGGACTACGTATCTTGTATACTTTACAGCGATTAAATGTAAAAAGACTTGCATTGGAGGGAGGAGTTTTACAAATTCGAGTACAATGCTGTGGCCCCAGTGAATGGAGAAAGAGGCCCTTTGAGCCCTATCAGGTTTATTATGACGATATACAGACACAGGTGGGCGAAAGATGCCCACACACTGATCTGCACGCACAGGCACACTCTGCTTGATGTGTGTATATGCACACACGGAAAGAAAACTGCATGTATGCATGCTTGCACTCACTAAGCGTGTGCATACAAGTGTACACACACACACACACACACACACACACACACACACACACACACACA